GACACACACACACACACAGACACACACACACACACAGACACACACACACACAGACACACACAAAATATGGGGGGGGGGAGGTGTCTGAATGAAGTCGGTATTGGAAAATCTGACTTCAACCGAGGCTGTAACATCACATTGAATTAATGTCTTTATTTAAAAATTAAACTAAATAAAAGACCTTAGTGCAGGGGTGGGCAATCTTACCCGCAAAGGGCCGGTGTGTATGCAGGTTTTTGGGGTGACCTGTAGGTCAGCTGTTCAAACCCAGGTGTGAGGACTCTTCAGCCAATCAGTCCTCTAATTAGTCATCTAATTAGGGAGTTGCAGTGAAAACCCGCACACACACCGGTACTTTCTGGATAAGATTGCCCACTCCTGCTTTAGTGGGTGGTGTTGCAGGGGGCACAATAGCTCATTTGGGGGTGCATAGCTTGTTAATGACACCCCCCCTACATCTCAGTAAGCTCACTGCATATTCAGCGCCCGCCAGGCTCTCCCCCCCGACTGCAGGTCTTCCTGTCCTCCTCCAAACACACGTTTCCCAGCCCAGCCACAGACTGGCAGTTAGGCTAACTAGCGTCTCTATATCGTGGTGAGGGACTGGCTGCACATGTCTGGCTGTCCTGTGATACACTGGCTTTCCACTCAGGATGCACCCCCCCCCCCCTCTGCTCTGTGCTGCCTGCAATGGGGGGGGCGGTTCCCCCACCACCTCTGTTTGGTCAGATGGGTGTGCATATGGATGAATTTCCTTACAGATTACTTTTCTATTTTTGCCAGAGGTGGAAATTTCCGGTGCAGAAAGTAAAACTCCAGTCCAGGATTTTGTTTCAACCACCTATAAAGTATCACAAACACAGAGTACTGAACTGGTTGGCTGAAACAAAATCTTGGTCTGGATTTTTACTTTATGGACCCAAAATGTCCATCTCTGATTTTTGCACACTGCGTCATGCCATTATGTGTTTGGTAAAATTACTTTTTACTTTATTCTTAGTAATTCTGAGTTTATACTGATTACATTCATATATTAGGAAAAAGAAGCAGGCTGGAGACTCAGCCGTTTGCCTATTCCGTGGCCTGTGTATCTGTTGTCACATGATCATTGATAGTCAAGGGGATATTGCAAAAGGATGGGCATTTATAAGAATGACAATAATTACGTGGTAGCCAATAGTAAATGGCGTTATTGCAAAATAGTCTCGCGATGGCTAAGTAAAAGTCTCGTAGTAGAGACACGTAAAGTCTTGGGTGTTTCTCAATATCAAGGACACAAAGATTGTACTTGTATTCTTGGCAAGAGTGTTCTTGCTAACTTGGGATGCAATGAATCATGGGGTTATTCTTGTTTGGCAAGGATGCAGCAGATGCATATTTGTTAATTGGGGTGAGGTAAGAACGAGATTTAGGAGTTTTTACAGTCGTCTATACTTCTGATCTTGAGTATTGGGAACTCGTCTTCGGCAGTGGGAGATGACGTAAAACGCGTACGCGAGAACACAAGTACGGTCAAACACACATATTGATAAGGACTCCTTGTCTGGGTCTGGAAGTCTAGGAGATGTAAGAGGACACAAGTTGTCTGAAATGAGCTTGCTGCTTGCTCCATGTCTTTCCCCTCGTTCATCTGGGAGGGCTTTTTTCACATTATTGATTGTGGATGGGATCAGATAGAAATTACCGGTAGTTTTAGATTTTTTTTTTCCCATTTGAGGTTGAGAAACATGCTTAAGAGCACAAGTAATATGAGACGTGGCCAAAGACGAATTTCTTGTTTTTATGATATGAAAAGGAGAACAGCTGTCATTGATCCTAATGCATTAGCTTAACTTTTGTTTGAGCTAAAACTCTCTTGATCCCCCTTGTAGATAACCCCCCCACCCCATCTCATATCCTATCTCATATCTCATCATATCCATGATGTAGGTGCACCACACTAGGCCTGAGGTCCGTTCCGCCCCCACTGGCCCGGACGCAGCTTTTTGGGCATTCACGCGTCCTTCGCGGCGCCCGCGCCCGTCGACACGCCCGCGCCCCCGTCGACACGCCCGCGCCCGTCGACACGCCCGCGCGCCCGTCGACACGCCCGTCCTAATCTGGTGGCACAATTTGGCTGAGATTTGCCACCATTTATTTCTGCCCACTGCCTTTCCCTCTTTTTTATCTGGACACCAACCTCATCTGGGCAGCCCGCCACTTCCACATTCCCCTGTTGCCCCCCCCCCCAGTACTCCTCAGCAATAGATATACTTGGTGTCTTATTGCCCAGCAACAAGCAATTTAAAAGAGGGGGCCACCAGCAACACAAAATTAGGAGAGAGGCCACATAGTACCATGGACAACATAGTGTAGTAGTGACACCCCATAGATGGGCCCCGATCTCTCACACCAAAGCTGCATCACACCAGGCCTCATATCAGCGCTACCTGGATTAATACCCTGCCTCTACTTCACAGGGCTGGGATCTGTCCTCACCTTGCCCTTACTGACAAGGTTCCATGATAACTGTAACAATGGAACAGAGAAATGGACTTAAAGCCCACTTGGAGACAACACAGGTCCATAAATTGAATCAAGAATGAATATTGCATATATGGTGATAGATACAGTTGGACTAATTTGGTTTAGGCTAATTTGGTTTACATACAGATGGGCTAATTTGGGTTAGGGTAATTCAGTTTACATACAGATGGGCTAATTTGGGTTAGGGTAATTCGGTTTACATACAGATGGGCTAATTCAGTTTAGGTTCATTTGGTTTAAATAATTTAGGCTAATTCGGTTTACGTTTTTAGTCTTAGGTTTTGATACCATGAGAACATAAGATATTTACAAACGAGAGGTCATTCCGGCCATCAAGCTTATTTGGGGAAAATTCACCTAATAGCTCAGAGTTGTTAAAATCTTATCTCTGATTTAAAGGAACCCAAGTTTTAGCTTGCATCATACTTTTCTTTGATATAACATTAAATAGTAATAAAAAAACACCTTTCTTCTGTGCTCATGTTTGGTGCAGAAAGCTGAGGCGAAGAGCTTTGCTTGTTTGACAGTTTCCATCTTCCAGCAGATGAGGGCTCGGGGACAAACTGGCGTTTATGGAATTTTTATAAACAGTGACGGGTCACTATGTTTGTGCTGGTGGAATAAAACACAGATGAGTCTCTGACTATATATAAGCATGCAGACGGTAACTCGCTGGTGTTAAATGAAAAGCTCTATATTCGGCTTGATGTACTTTGCTTAGCTACAATAACAATAAAAAAATCAATTATACCAGTTTACATTTATATATTGCCTTTCACAAATCCAAGGTCGCTGTACAGGGAGGGAAAAAATACATTTATGCAGTTCAAGAGGAGAAATGTTCATTAAATAGGAAAGTCTTTAAGTCAGATTTAAAAGTGGAGAATGAAGACCAGTCACAGGGAGATTAAAGAAGAGAAGTTTGGGGGCAAATGGCACTGAGAAGTGAGACCCAAAGTGAGAAGTAGGGTGTGAGGGACAAGGAGTAGATTACAGCTAGATGACCGGAGAGAGCGAGGGGGAAGAGTTAGGGGTCAGGAGATCGCTGAAGTAAGGGCGTGCAAGGCCATGTAGTGCCTTTACCTGGAGGAAGCGAAGGCCAGCCATTCTGCACCAGCATATTTACCACACAGTAGTGGTGGAGGCGCAGGAGAGAATTTATCAGTTAGATATAGGGGATGATTAGGAGGCCATATTTGAAAAGGGCAATTTTATGGCGCTTTTCCACTGCTGCCAGGAACGAAGCCATACTCGAGTCGTACCACAAACTGCTTTCCAGTTGCAAACTATGCAAGCCGTACCCGAGCCATACTGGGGCTGCTTACTAGGAGTGTGACTGGCTGTGTCACCACCATCTGATTGGTCGAAATGTACTGAGATACCGGTGATTTGTGTCAATATGCATGGATTACCTGAACGGAAAAAGGGCATATTCTATGAATTAGTCATGCACATCATAACGCACAGGAATCTTTTATGACTTCGGTTTAATGGCTTATCCAAAGG